GCAATTCCAGCTTTTAGTTTATGTGTGCAGGGGATGATGGAAAGTAAGGTATCATATTGCCGATTATGCTGAAAAATTTCAATAAAAACTACCGAAACAACTGAAATACTTCAATATTTACAAGTATAAGCTATCACTCCGTGTTTACATGGCCACCATTTTTATTTTTTCAGCATAATCAGTAATATGATACCTTACTTCCCATCATCCCCTGCACGCATAAACTAAAAGCTGGAATTGCCTATTAAAATACAGTACAATTATTTTATCCATCATTAAAATTATTTCAAAATTACATATTCATATTTTTCAGTTTTAAAACAAACATACAAAAAAATTTTGCTTTGCTTCAGCCATTACGTATAGGATTCCGGACCGTGGTCAAATATCGTAAAATTCCGCCCGCTGCTGCAGCCAATCAGATTGCAGAAAACGCTAGGATTCCGCCCGCTGCTGATTTACAAAAAAATAATTACAAATAACAACTGAAAATAAAATTCAAACTTACCAAGAATTTCAGTGGTCTCAAATTAAATCCCTTTGTGTTCTCAAGATGATCAACTATTCTGCCAGGAGTTGCTGGAATAAAATAAAACAAGTGTGGCATTCTACAATTTTTACTTATCAACCCATTCAGAGTGTGATAATTCGCATATATACTTATTAGGCTGTTGCGGTATATTGATATACATGTACTGAAAATTATTGGTTTTCTATAAATGCTGATTATTGAATATTAAAATTTTCGATATATCGGAATATCGATATTTTTCAGTAATATTGGTATCAGTTTTTTAGCATTTTTCCACAAATGAATATAACAAATCCTACAAGTTGATTGTTCAAATTTGACATATTAAGCTATTCACTGACAGGTGAATATAACAAAATTGAAATTTGAAAAATGGAGGCTAGCTGTTTTGTGGAAGTTACTGATAAAGAAATAACTCAAATAAGCAAAATTAAAATAAATTCAGTCCCAAAAACACAACGACTTGTGTAAAAATACCAAAACAATTATTTGCCTCAGGCTCGGTGATTATCAGGGAATGTTCACCTTGACTTTGTCTCGGTGAATATTCCCTGATAATCACTTCGCCTGCTGCAAATAATTGTTAAATGTTAACTTTGTATACCGGTATGGGTAATTCCATGCCATTTCAACACAGGCATGACACCCACCCTCTCCAAATTTCTTTATATTTCGCAGGCAGTTAACATTGTGTGGGAATAGTTTAAGTTCAAAATTTGAGCATCGTAGCTGCAATAGTTTTTGAGATAACGCAATTCAAAATATGGCCTGAAAAGCAGAAAAGTGGGCGTGGCCAGTGCTAAATTCACCATTACCCTATTTTACATTTTGACCTGTAACTTCATACCCGTAAATGGTATATCCATCAAAATTTGCACAAAGATGTATTTGTATGTGGAGATTTCAAATATTGCACTTTAATCTTTGTATCTGCAACCAGTAATGTGTTATGACACAGCAAAAAGTCTAATTATGTGTTTCTGAAGACACGAAATATACATCATCTTTATTGGAAAAATTTTTATGGAAGCCATACAGACACATCAGTAATTTTTATTCCACATCATATCCACATGTTATTCTACTTTCAAGCAAAATTTGGTGATGGTTAGTTGCCTGCTTTAAAAAGTAGAGCCCTTTAAAGTTGTCGTATTTTCTAAATAATTTTATAGTACGTTTTGGATGTTTGTTCTGAATAAAATACATTCATTGAGAAATGAGACTGCCAAATACCTTAATGTTTCATTCTATCATTCTTTTTTAATAGTACATTATGTTCTCCAAGAGTAACTGTTATTTCTTGTATCAAATTACCTTAAGAAGTATATATAGAGATCACTACTGTTTATCCATGAATGTGCGTAAGACTTCTTGGTCTTTAGACTGCAGTTTGTACTGCCTCCCAGTGACTATTGTTGGAACACCAATGTTAGAAATAATGTTCTCATCCGAAACCCGACAAGTATTAGTGATTGACCGATTATTATCAATTATTCATCCAATAATCTATCCGATTCTGATTATCCATGACGTCATAATCCACTTCGAGAATTTAATGATAATTTCCAACGTAACATGTTACTAGTAGCAACCAAAGTTCGTTAAACCTGTACATAAATGACACGCTTCACATATTATTTCGTCGCGGCAACGGTTTGCTCCACACCTACTATGCATTAAACAGTTGTTGTTTTCACATAAAAAGTGCATTTCAACGTGTATCACCGCGCAATATATATGATTTTTACATAAGTGCATATTTTCTCAACAATCGGTTTTACACAATCGGAAAATACAAGAAGCAGAAATCGGTCCGATTCTGATTATAATTTTTTATTTACTTTTTTATTAAAAACATCTTGTAACACAGTAGCTAATCAACTAAAAAAATATTAGCAAGGTTGTCGTTACTTTTCACTAGGCCGTGCACTTACAGACAGTATAAGAGATTCCCATGCATCCACCCTCCCCGAACCACCCAAATCGGCCGAAGCCGTTTTGACTATTAAATGACGAAGAAATATGTATTTTTATTTTTTTGCCCAAATAATCACCTATGAAATTGAACTAAATATGGCTGACACGAGTACACGACGCAATTATCGGTCAATCGCTAACAAGTATCCTCTTACTGGCCAGAAATATGATCTTGCGATGCACTTTGGCTGCATAAACCTTATTAACGTTTGCATTTCTTTGATCATTGTCAACTTCTTCAATCAAATCAAGCCATTTTTCATCATCTTACAAGCATACAATAAAAGAGTTCACTAAAAGTACAATGGGTTCACGAGAAGGGGTAGATAAGATCATAAGAAATAAATTGTAGTGCATACTTTTGATCCATTGATATTCTTTTTGTGCATGTACTATTAATAAATATGTAATTTTTAAACTTTTAAAACAAATTTTAAATATGCACTATCCATAAAGACGGATTGAATGAAACATTAAGGTATTTGGCAGTCTCATTTCTCAATGAATGTATTTTACTCTTAACAAACACCCAAAACGTACTATTAAAGTTATTTAGAAAATACGACAACTTTAAAGGGCTCTACTTTTTAAAGCAGGCAACTAACCATCACCAAATTTTGCATGAAAGTAGAATAACATGTGGATATGATGTGAAATAAAAATTACTGATGTGTCTGTATGGCTTCCATAAAAATTTTTCCAATAAAGATGATGTATATTTCATGTCTTCAGAAACACATAATTAGACTTTTTGCTGTCCAATAACACATTACTGGTTGCAGATACAAAGATGAAAGTGCAATATTTGAAATCTCCACATACAAATACATCTTTGTGCAAATTTTGATGGATATGCCATGTACGGGTATGAAGTTACAGGTCAAAATGTAAAATAGGGTAAAGCAGAATTTAGCACTGGCCACGCCCACTTTTTTGCTTTTCAGGCCATATTTCGAATTGCGATATCTCAAAAACTATTGCAGCTACGATGCTCAAATTTTGAACTTAAACTATTCCCACACAATGTTAACTGCCCGCGAATTATAAATAAATTTGGAGACGGTGGGTGTCAAATCAGTTTTTTTTGTGTCGAAATGGCATGGAATTACTCGTATGTAAACATCATAATATCAAGCTTTTCCAAGCGCTGATTGGAGTATATTATCTCAAGAAGCCTGACAAAGACAATTAATGGGTCAACCCCTGGACAAGTAAAATTGTAGGTGTAAAATAGTCGGGCGTTACACAGAATAAAATAATAAAGTAGGGTGACCAGTTGCCAGTTGTAATTGAATTTAAAAGTATTTGCCATACTAACCAACAATAATATGAGGCTTTTTTGCCAGAGCCAATGACTGAGACATGATGTCAATCCCACCAACAATAACAGCTAAATGAAAAATATAATATTGCTCGTTGCTAATACACAATGTACATATTTGTAAATTTCTTTTTTCAAAACAAACCAAAGCTTACCACATTTGACACCTATTAAGGAACCAAGTGCTTCAAACTGTTCTGATATTTGAAATGCAAGTTCTCTGCAAGAAAATAAGAAATTTACTCTTCATGGCTAAAAATTATTGCCATAAATAATGGAGTAATAATATGTTGAAGCGTTTTGTAGATGGCAATTTCGAGTGTAAATTTTACTAGGGGTGCACCGGAGCCGATTTTTAAAGTTCCGGCCGGAACTGGATCCGACCGGAAATGGAAAAAAGTTCTGGCCGGAACTGGAACTAATTTATAAAGCCATATATAGTCATATGTTACTTTGTCCACTGCCAGACAGGCAGACACTTCAAGTCATCAAGGAGAGAGTTGCCTAATGTTAGAATAAAAAGATTATTTGACAAATGTTAAACGTCATAATGAAGTGCTAATAGTGTACATTTCCCTTGTATAGTCCAAACTTCTTCCTACTGTGAACCTTTGTTAGACACAAAAACATTTGATATCCTATCTCTCTGAAAACAACAGAGTTCCAGCCATGCTTTTTTATTAGTTCTGGCTGGTGCACTCCTAAATTTTATGCAATTATTTAGAATAAAACAATCCTCACTGATATTAACCCATTAAGATGCAGAGCTTCCCCACTGACAAGTAAAATCATCTGGCATTATATAAGTAAAAAAAATAAGTAGGGCGCACTGGGGTTCATTAACTAAAGACATTGTCAGATTTTTTATTAGCCCATTAAGCTGCAGAGCTTCCCCATTGACAAGTAAAATCGTCTGGCGTTAGACAAGTAAAAAATATAAGTAGGGCAACTGGGCCACATTGCAGCTCAATGGGTTAATACACTGATATATATGTACACTACATACGTCATATGGTATATCATTACCTGGTTGGCGTCATAACAAGAGCAAACAATCTCTGAGGATTTTCTAACAATGCTTGAAGGATTGGCAATGCAAAAGCTCCAGTTTTACCAGAACCAGTTTCTGCCAAACCAATGATGTCTTTTTCTACATACAAGAAAAATAGGAACTATTTAATTAAATAAAACTCCTGAGGTAGGCCCCAGTGTGCTCTTCTTTTTTTACTTGCATAATGCCAGACAATTTTACTTGTCAATGAGGAAGCTCTGCAGCTTAATGGGTTAACCTATTGAGTGAGTTTGGAGTTAGGGGCTGCTTATATGGAGGCTGGGCTAGCCTGGGAAGCAAAATCATGCTGTGTAGCTATTTATGGTAAAAATTTCTGTGTGTTTATATGAACAAACAAGCTGGCCTGGTTGCAGAGATCTCGCTTGAAATGGGCGAGATCTCGCTTACCAGGATGAAAATTTCTGCACTGAAACACTCACAAGCAGGTTGGTCCAGTTGCCAAGATGAAGGCTATTTTTAACAATTGTCAAAACAATGTTAAAAACAACAAAATTGTCCTGGCAAGCAGGATAACATTTTCTCATATAGCGCTAGCCCAGCTTCCACATAAACAATAAACAGCCAGCCCCTTTAGGCCATGGGAATGAAAGTCATAGATTTGCATCGACTGCCCGCATGCCTCAAAAGCTACCACCTAAAATTTTCATTATTTACAAAAAATTCATTATTTTCACAAACAAAGCAAAACTCAATAAAATAGCAATAAAATTGTGTATTGATTACAATGAAATGAACATATTGCAGTATGTTTGTTCTCAGTATCCACATTCTATGAAATTCCAAATTATATTCACTGAAATGGCGAAATTAGCACACATATTTTGGTGTGTTTATATGAACAAACAAGCTGGCCTGGTTGCCAGAAAATGAGCCAGTTTGGCCTAGTAGAAAACGTCCAACGTCGCGCCACCAGATACATTTTAGTAAGTGGATATTCGTCCGACATTTCCATAATCGTTAAACTCGTTAAAAATAAAACAGCGTAAATTTAATTGAATTTCAAGCGAATCCTTCGTAGTGTAGTGGTTTAGGCACCCGTATTGTGTGCGCCAAGTTCTGGGATCGATTCCTGCTCGCGCCACTACTTTATTATTTTTTTTTATACTTTTTTTTTTCTTTGTGATTTTCGCTTACGCACCGCGTACGAAACGTATAGCGTATCAAATATGTTGTTGCTTCGTTCTTAAGAAACAACGCAACCCTTTTAGTGGTTTAGTGTTAGCTTTTAAAGCGTTGTCGGATGAATAGCCGTGAAGCAGGAAGATCCGGTGTCGGACGAATATCCACGGGGTACTTTATATGATGTCATATTTCCTTGATGTCATCAAAGTTTGTTCGAAGATGGAAAATCTTCTTATATTGTTAAAAAATCTTCTTATATTAATATAAGAAATAAGAAGATTTTACTTTTAAAAAAAATCTTCTTATATCCAACCCTGGGTTGACGAGAGAAAATGATGGAACAGCAAAAATTATAGTCAAAAAGTTCCTAGAGGATTACCAGGATACATAGTGAGATAGTTTGATAAACCCCCATCAAATATTCAAATCTCCCATGCCTCTATAGAAATATCAAACTACCAACCTTGCAGTGCCAAAGGTATACATTCACGTTGGATTTTCGTTGGTATTTTCCAACCGACTTTCTCGCACGCTTCACAGAGAACCTCGGTAACTCCCTGTGGAAAACAACACACAAAAACATCAACCACAACCAAGCTATCAAATAATTTACACAAGTATAATAAAAACACTTTAATTTAGCACTCACAAGGTCTTTAAACGTTGTATTCTCGTCATTTTCGCCGATTTTTTTATCTGTTTCGTCCGAAGTTTCGTCCGCCATCTTGTTAAACGTGCGAATGTGGAAGGGCACAAAATATCGCGAAAAATATTACGAAAACCGGTCGAATACCTTTATTGCTATGGTTACCGTTTACCAACAAATATGGCGGCCGAATTTTGCGTGTTTTCGTAAAAAATTGCTAAAATTTGATTTTATATAGGTAACGTTGATGGCATTGCTCGCGAGAGGCCTTTTAATAGACGAGTCTTAATGGTTACTAATAGCAATAACGATATAGAGTTAGGATTTTAGGTATTTCAAATGTCAGCGACAGTCGCAAGGTCAAGTCGCGAAGGGTCTTTTGAAAATGAACATTCTATGTTAGGCGAACGGGAAAATACAATGGAACTGATAGAAAAATCTGAGAAAATCAACAGTTTAGTAAAAGAACAGGTACAGTAGGAGACAAGAATGCCTTTTACTTTTAATTGTGATTTTAATTGTGTGACAAATTGTCGAGTTGAAAATTTACCTGTGAGATTCGATCTTACGACATGAAAGCCCGTGCATTTTGCCCGATCCCTGCTACTAACTCTTGACGAAGGATCTTATGACATGAAAGCCTGTGCATTTTGCCCGATCCCTGGTACTAACTCTTGACGAAGGATCTTATGACATGGTCTGCTGGAGCAGTTTGAAAATGGCGCAGAAAAGTCATTGCGTTCAGGGGCGTAGCTAGAGGGTGTGTGGGGTGTGGAGGGGTGCAATACCCCCCCCCCCCTTCATCGCGGCTCGGCAAATGTCTGCTTGACTCGGCAAATTGTTTTCGGATTTATCGGCAAATTGTTTCGTAGTGAGCGAAAATATTTGAGTGTGAATGGCTTGGAATAAAAAGTAATAGCCATAGCAAACATTTTGCTAAATTTACGAAAATTACGGAAAAAGTTAACAAATTACGAAACATTAATGGAAAGTTTGTGAAAAATGGTACTGTATGTCCGGATTTGGGAAGAAAAAGATAATTAGCGCCTGAAATCTTGTGGGCAATTGCGATACTACAGCCCCTATGGCTATGCTTTAGCCTCTTCGCTACGGCCCTGCGTTCACACTGCGCTTGTTTGAAAACGTCATTTTCGCCGTAACAATTTGAGAATGGATGCTAAACGGAGCAAGATGAAACTGGAGTGTTTGGCGGCTTCGTGTGAACACAAACGGCGTTCCTTTTTCGTACCGCTTGCAAACCAAGCATCTCAAGTCTCAAAACAGTAAATTCGAATGCTTTTCGTTTAAATTCAGTTTCTTTGCTCTATTTGAAATATTTCGGGTTACATGATTGCCAATTGATTTGTAAACAAACTGTTGTGTGAACACATGCAAATTCTGCCGGGCATAAATAATGAACGGTTCCTAAACCAAACATAAGTGGTGAAAAACTTCACATTTATGGAATACTATACTAAATATAGGTTGATATGATTAAAGAAAGTCAAGAAAACGTTCAGAGTCTTGTTGAAAATATCAATCGCGCTGAAGAAGAGGTAACAAAAAATAACCTGAACAATTTTAAACCCCGTGTAAAACTAGGATGATAGTTAACGATATCTGGTACGAGGGGTCTAGCACGAGAGTTTTCTCAACTCTTGTTTCCTGGGCAAACGAGAACAAGAGTTTCATAAGAGTTGATTGGCTATCACACGGCGCCTATAGACAAAACTCTCATCAACTCTCATAAAAATTTTGACCTGCACGAATTCGACGAGAGCTGACGAGAGTCGATCGGAGAGGCTGTCAAACGCGAGCGAGAGTTGAAACTCTAACAGGGGGCAATAATTCAAGATTTTTATTCGTACCCTACTGGTACGCCAATGGTTGTTGGCGCGTACTTGTGCTAGTGCGAACTCAGCACTCAATGTGTACTTAGTCATTAAAATAAGGTTCATAAAGTACAGGTTTCTGAAAAGTATGTTCAGACTACGAGGTAGAAAAGAAGCACAATTGCATATACAAACAATCGACTCCAACGTTTCTTAGTGCCATCAGTCCAATCATGTTTCATGCCAAGACATCTCAGACACATGACATACTGTACCAACTAAATTACGGTATTGAATACCTTGGGCTTGTAAAGGTCATGTGGTTCCAGCAAATTAAGTATTAGTACGCAGATAGCAAGAGTTCCGCGTATCTACGTGGTACATGGCTGAAAACAAATCGCACCCTGCTCTAATGCATCAACTCTCGTCACCCCCTTTCCTCGAGATAACTGCCGGTCAACAGACATTTTCCTGTAGCTCAACTTTTACTCTTGAATGAGTTTCAGGTTGATCTAAGTACGGTTGAATCTGTTAAAGACATCGTGAGAAAGAGCGAAGATTTAATCGTATTGGTTCAGGTAAAATATGAACTTTTATGTATTATATAATACCTTATTAAATTCTAATCGTTTAATTGGCTGTTTATGGTCACGTGATATTGAATAGAAAATTCCATTTCCCAAGAGTGCAATGGAACACGTTCCATTGCACTCTCCGCGAGTGCAATGGAATAAAACGTATAGTACAATTGCACTCTTTGTGTTTTCGATAAATCACATCCCTCAAAATGCTTCTCATACGAATCTATTAGTCTATTTTGGTATTATATAAAACAAATAATGAATGTTTCTTTGTGCAATGGTAAGAATATTTTCATTCGGTGAAAGATGGAATGTTCCATTCAACTCGGCTGTTGCCTCGTTGAATGGAACATTCCATCTTTCACCTCATGAAAACATTCTTACCATTGCACTCACAAACATTCATTATTTGTATACTATTTAATAATCGAGCAGGAGTGTTTTATTAGGTTTAAAGCCACGAGCGCGCAGCGCGAGTGGCTTTAGACCTAATAAAACACGACCTGCGAGTTTTTTAAATGGCTTCAAAAACGTTTGCATAATAAGTCAAATCTTTATATAAAAATCTTTATATAAAAATCGTTATATAAAAATCTTTATATAAAAATCTTTATATAGTTTGCATAACAATGGTCTTTTGTTAAAGTGTTCTTTAGCTGGTATAAAGACGTATGCACGTGACTAATTTCTTACTCAAGATTGGATAATTGCTTCATGAATTATTAATGAGTTTTTGAAATGAATTTCTTAGCTTAGGCCCCGTTTATGTCATGAGACCGGGACGGTGTCGTTTCGGTCATATTAGTAATATATCAAATTCGATTTTAAGGACTGGACTAGATTTCAAGTCCGCGCAATGGACCATTTGCATTACAGACTAAATTTTGATCTAGACAAGTCAGGACAAAATTTCACCACAGCTTGAAAGAGCATCACAAAATTAGTAATATTCCAACGTTTCGTTGCGAAATGTTGTAAAATGCGGATAATATAGCCTTGCGAAGTTTGCCGTTTTTCAGTCATTTTGCATTACAAACGGGCAATTGACAGCCCAATCGGGTGTTGGGCCATCAAGTTCCCGTTTGTAATACAAAATGACTGAAAATTGCAAACTTCGCAAGGCTATATTATCCGCATTTTACATGAATTTTTGTCTAGATCAAAATTTAGTCTATAATGCAAATGGTCCATTTCATCAAGTCCGAGGACTGGATAAAAAATGGGAGGACTTGAAATCTAGTCCAGTCCGAATTGGAGGATTTGGAATGACATCTCATACGAATAAATCATTACTTAAAGTGAGGTGAATTATTTAGATCCAGTCCAAGGACTGAATTAATTTCGATCCAGTCCTAAGACTGGTACAATATTACTCACCAGGTACCCAATATTATCTTGTGAGCAAAGTAAAATATGGCTGGCTAATTATTAATCTATTTTTATTCATTTAAACAATAAGTGATTTTTTTTTTTTTTTTTCTGTGCTGGTGTTGTGTACTCAGGTGAATAATATGTTTGTGATGTTACTCGGGCGAGCTTGAAAAATATGCCCGGCCACGGTGGGATTCGAACCTACGACCTTTGGAATACTAGCCCAATGCTCTTCCAACTGAGCTACGCGGTCAGGACGGTTCGAGTAGGTGATATTTCGGAACAGTATCTAGTTCCTTCAATACCAATGTGTTCTTGTAATATGAATTTTACCACTCGAACCGTCCTGACCGCGTAGCTCAGTTGGAAGAGCATTGGGCTAGTATTCCAAAGGTCGTAGGTTCGAATCCCACCGTGGCCGGTCATATTTTTCAAACTCGCCCGGTGTGGATATGCACTCAGAGTAACATCACAAACATATTATTCACCTGAGTACACAACACCAGCACAGAAAAAAATTCATATTACAAGAACACATTGGTATTGAAGGAACTAGATACTGTTCCGAAATGTCACTTACTCGAACCGTCCGGACCGCGTAGCTCAGTTGGAAGAGCATTGGGCTAGTATTCCAAAGGTCGTAGGTTCGAATCCCACCGTGGCCGGGCATATTTTTCAAGCTCGCCCGGTGTGGATATGCACTCAGAGTAACATCACAAACATAATAAGTGATTTATTTATAATAGATGTTTACATGAAACAGGGACGAAAAATTGGTCAGACCGGCCTGAAGTCCTTCCACTCTCTGAACCGAACTGACTATCTTCAGACCTGGATGAATTCGGAGCGGAGTGAATGTAAACAGAAATACATTTCAGACCGGCCTCGTCTATGCTCTTGGCTTCGGAAGAATATGCATGCTCAGAGAAAAAGCACTGTAAAAAAAAACACGAAAATGGCGGGCAAGGAGAATAAATTAATAAAAGAGAACATGTTGAAAATTCCGATTTTCATCCTGTCTCATCTAAACTGCATGGGCCTTACTGTAGATCCGTCTTCAGTTAAAACTGCGTGTTTTCTATCCCATAGGTGATAATCAAAGTCCGTAATGAGTTTGGGCATGCACGCTTGGATTTAGAAAAAGCCAAGAAGGCCAAGAAAATGGTATGGAATTAGCCTTTCTCTCGAAGGCCAAAATCCGCCATTTTTGGGGTACTGCCTGCCTCCCCTCGTGAAATATTCTAGACAATTCAAACAACGCGAAAAGCGACTTTTAAAAGTTGTAACTGTAAATTTACCATTATACAAACAACTATAACACTAAAAAGTTGTATTTCGTGGTGAGGAGACTCTCAAACGTGGGAGACCCCCAAAATGGCGGACATATCGGCGGTGAGAAAGGTTAATTGAGTCGATTTACTATACTGTATATGTTTGCTGAAAACAGCTGCGCAAATTGTGTAGTTTCCGCCATAATTTTAAAAGCTGTAAACCAGTCCTAAATGACATTGGAACTGAAAATTTAGTGCTGCTCATTTTAAAGAACGTTCAAAATGATGTGTTAAATCTTGTTGCAGATTTTTTATATCAGGCTTAAGTGCTTAACTATTGGAATATTTTCATTGAAAGCAATGAGCTGTCCGCATGCATATTGGAATAATTGCTAACCTGGGGTTGTTAGCGTTAGAAAATTGCTTCCAAGTGACCGAGTAAATATCAAAAGTTGTTTAAAATTTCTTTGTATTCAATTTTAATTTTGAAATAGCAGCCAAGAACGCGTTTTGTGCTCATATTGAAAATTTGGCAATTGTGATGTAACACGAATATCTATATATTATAATCCAAGATGGCGGACAGCTCATTGTCAAAAAGCTGTAAAAACTCTTTATTATATAATTATTCTTAAAACTCTTTCAAATAAGGCAAACTAGAATTTTACTGCAAAGTACACAATACATAAACTGTTTTTCTAGGTAAAAGAAGCGAAGGAAAGATTTCACTGGCTTGAAAAAAGACTGGAAAAGTTACTTATTGAGTGTCATAAGAAAGCCAGTTGTCTTTTGAAGTCTTCCGCAGTTGGCTCTCTTGGCCAATCACTGGCCAAAACAAATCTTAAAATAGAAGAACGATTCACTCCTTCGCAATGCGAGAGATTGTTCTGTGACGTTGGTGGTTATTACACTAAGCCACCGGAAGAGTTTCATGGAGGGAAACGTAACTGTTATAATGTGACGAGAGATGTGCTCGAAAATAGCCAGAAGCTGTTACAAGAAGGTTAATGAATTTCAAATCCGTGTTTATTAAACTTTCGCGGGAATACAGTATCTGGAACATCTAACCGATTGAGTGCCAGCACTCTCCCCTTGACGAGTAAAATTGTCTGGCGTTAGACAGAGTAAAATAATAAAGTAGGATGCAACTCAATGGGTTAATTAGATACATGAACTGATAGTTTGATTATTGGAGTAGCATGGATAATCCAAAATATATATATACCGATTTCGTATAGCTAACCAGGGACGGTTGCAAAAAAATGCAACAATGGGCCCTCTTGCAAGAAACAAACCTATGGTCCTGAATGCGATTCCGGTGCTTCAAAGGTACATAACAAACGTTGTTATTCAGAGTTTCATGCCTGAGTTTACTGACAATCTTTGGACATGCAACTAAAGTTTTGAATAGAACGAAGATTGTCTGTAAACTCAAGCATGAAACTCAGAGTAACAACGTTTGTTTTGTACTTTATTTCATAAATAAATAAATTTAGCTCTGCTATCTGCAATTTAGTTCTACTCTTGCCACATGTTTGTTCTTGCCACATTAAGACGTCATACTGTGTATCTATATAACTGAACAGACAACGGCAAAATCTTATCTAGAGAGAGATGGGGAGAGAGGGAGCCCCCTACCGGAACGTTACTGATTGCTTTCGCTTTCTCTGTTTACCAGGGGATGATAAAAATAATCCGCTTTACACGGACGAAAGTTCCAGCTCGATTCAAACTCAAAACTCATCTCTTCACGATCTCAAAAACACCAAAGATTACGATCTCCCGGACAACATTGATTCTCAAATCTCAGTCATACCTCTCATTGAAGACTCGACAGACAAAGTACCCACAAGCAAACTGCCGCGGTTCTCGCTAAAGGAAGCAAGTGAAACAGAATTGGAAACTTCCCTTGGTGAAAATTATGATGATGAAGTGGAAAAATATTGGAAGTCTGATCATCACAGATTTGAATGGCCTGATACGAATGTTCAACTGAGGTCTCCCCTTTCATGGCACTCTCTGGGGCTCCCTGTACAATTAGATAGCTTTATCGCTAAAGGTTTGGATTGCTGAAGGCTATTACAGTTGTACTATACTAAATATATGTTATTGACTGAGCGAGAGGTCCGTATAATACCGGTCGAGTTCTTTTTTCGTTTGTATCCATACAAGAACGAGACCTGGAGGCTGCTCCATTTACTGTTCGGAGTACTCCGGATTTTCGGAACACTAATTGAATCGAACCAAAAACGGTCACATGACTGTTCTGACTGCCCCAACTCAAAAGTAGGGGCAGCCAGAACAGACATGTGACCGTCAGAACAGTCATGTGATCGTTGTTGGTTCGATTTAATTAATGTTCCGAAAATACGGAGTACTCCGAACAGTAAATGGAGCAGCCTCCAGTATCCTTTTGTACGGATCAAACAAGCTCAGTCAATAAGCTATTTTAGTAAAATTAAAACACAACTTGTTTACACTATTTCAACATTAGTGCGTGGTACAGTAGTTTAGTTAGTTTAATTTCCAGCAACAATTAGGGACAAGCATTTTGCTGACAAGCTGTGAGATTTTACGCGCATAAGCATACGGTAACATCAAATGACCCTTGAAATAAAATACATACTACTCTATTGAAAGTATTTTATTGTATTATAGACAGACCAGTGTTCACTCCAGATTTGCCTTGGAAAGAGAAAGCAACTCAGGTCAACAGTGTTCTTGATATTCATGTAAGTGGACGTAAAACACTTTGTTTTTATTCGAAATGCATTTTTGTACCAAGGATACCAAAATATGACCACGTGTGGGGATAATTAGAATATATCTCGTATTTTTTGCAGCCTCGTACCCAGGGCCAGAAAATAAGCCAATAAGATGGATTTCCGCCCGATTTCGTCAAAACAAAGTATAAACAAAAGATGTAATTGATTGGTAATAACTGATTGGTTTATTTTTTGGTCACGTGATCGCTTTTATATTCTTAGTATAAAAACTCATGTAATTTTCCTGGCTCCCGCTAGTAACTCCAGATGAAGGGCCTTCGTTCGAAACGGCGAAATTCTCCCTATATTTTTCAGGTAGTTGCATCCCTACCAACGAAAGCTTTTAAAATTGTTCATATTATTGGCCATATTATAAAAGCCATTTTTTTTCAATGTCGCATATGTTTGCGATGAACCTATCTTCTTGCTGTTCCTCTCAAAATTGCTTTCTTTTAGCTTTAATCTCTAGTTTATACAGTTAGCAACCTTTTTAAACGCATTTAAATAATAATCAATGATGCTTTAAAAGTGATTATTCAAACACCGAATTACAAAAGACAATCTTCTTAATAGTATGGTTTCTCGTCTAATTTGGAAATGCACAGTGAGTTTTTCAAAGACTTCAAATTGCGTCCTTCGGACTCGTGCAATTTTGATCGTCTTTGAAAAACTTACTCGTGCATGCTTTTTCTAAATTGAACTCGAAACCATATTGTTACCTAATACTATATTAAAACGTATCTCTACATTTGCTAGAAAATAGCTCTAGACAAGCTATACGCGAAGCTTCATCATATGTATGACGTCATAGAGAAAGCTACCGATGCTTCGATCAATCCTGTACCCAAAAATGACAAGATCGAACCACGAATGAGAAATATTGAAAGTATGTTAAGTTCTAAATTGTTTGTTTCGTTTTTAAGGTACATAAGATTTAATGCAAATTAAAGTCAACTAAGTCACTTTCTTATAGATTGTTATTTCCATTTGTGAGATATTTCATTTTCTTTAATAAAGCTATGCCTATTTATAAGTCATTGTTACTGATGCAGTAAGTGGCGTCGCCTGTCGAAGCAAGCAGAACTGTAGAATAATAGCATTGTTATGCGGATTTGATATATTATATAACAATTACTAACTAGACAGGCACTGTTTTATTGAGTATTTTAATCATATATTTAACACGTTATGCTCCATGCTCTTACTCATGATGCGCTGCCAACAAAGTTATTTAATATTTTTATATTTACAGGTGCTATAAAAATTCAAAAGGCTGCAAGCAGAACCTCGGTTAGTTTTGGGGCTATTATTTTACACGCTATAATTATAGTTCAATCTTTTGCTAGGTAAACACTCGGGTTGACATTTTTCTGGTTAGCCTAGAAATAACCGTATTTGGGTTAACTTAATATTCCTGGTTTAATTTCCTGGGCTAACCCTCGGTTAAAATTTAACCTGTTGTTTTAGTTTATGTATTTCTGCACGTCTGTTTATTTCAAAACTTCACAAAAGAAAGTTACTAGTGAAGCAGACAAGATTTCTGAAGAAATATTTACAAATTTATAAACAAAGCTGTTGGGAAGTTTGCTTTGAATTTGTGGTTAACCGTTAGGCTATTCGGCTTTTGAAAAACCGCCCCCAGGTTATTTTACCCTTTTCTTGCTATAGTTTGGTTAATTTGACCAGATTATACTAGATGGATAAATACCCGGTGGCTGTGGTTATACTGGTCTCATTAATACTAGTAAATTAGCCAAATGGTTTCTGTATTTTGCTCACATGAATAGGCTACATGATAACACTGGATACCTGGTAAAGTATTGATCTGTTAGTATTGGTCCAGTCCTAGGACTGGATAAAAAATTAATTCGAAAATTTGAACCAACAATCTTTGACAATATAGATTGGGACAATCTAGTTTTCATATGCATTCGGTTGTAATTTTCTATTTCTTGAAACATTTTTTCCACCCTCCCTCTCCCCACTCGTTTCAATGTTGGCGTCTCGCAACCAGACATCAGATTTTTGTCGGCCCAACATTGAACTGGGGGAACGGGGGACGCCAACGCCTTCCAAATTATGTGAAATTACAGCAGCTGTCGTATAGATTTTGTCAAAGATTGAAGGTGTTTATAGAATACTCAAGTCGTCCAAAGAGAACATCGACAAAATAAATTGTTTTACTTTTGAAAGTGAAAACAGTAATTTCAGATTTGTAACTGTCTATAACCCGACTATAAAAATATCCCAATATAGTATTCTTTTATTTTTTAAAGATATCTGATGATAATGTAGACCAAAACTCAAGTGACTCCGACGAAATGTTGCCAAAACCGGACACGGTACCTGCGATGCAAATAAGCGGACAACGTTCAGTTAAGGTACCTCTTATCATGGTTGTTATAAGATCTGGTTAGGAAACCCGGCAAACTTCAAAGAAATTACGCTATAAATAAATATGGAGGTTGAACAGTCAGTTTGACCCTGCACATATTGGTTTTAATCAATGAGAATTGACCAAACGATGTAACACAAACATTCTTCATCGAAAAATGGTGGTAATACTTCGTTATGTGCAAAATATGCTGTAAGATATAGCCCTGGTAGGCAAAACAAATACTTGATACCCATTCCCTTCGCCAAACTTTCTGAACTGACTACTGTCAAACAATAGAAAGACAAAGGATTTTTCAACTGTGACCCTGCACAAGGTATACACAATCACCTAAAACAAAGGGTTTCCAAACCATGTCACATATATTAACTATGCTGAGGGTGGGAAAGGGGGAGGGGGGTATGGATCACGTTACACAACGAAAAAAAAGCCGTTTCACGATTCACGTGTCTTAAAAAAGCAATTTCACGGAAAACTAGATTCTCATAAAATAATATAATAATAGGTTTATTAAGACTATGTTTAATGCATGGTACAGTATCTACGCTTTAAGTTCTCTCATTTCTCTACCTGTCAGTTAAAAACTACATCATAGCTTACAAGTTTGAGTGACAAGAATGTACGACGACCTCCGCGCGTGTCCTCAACGTGAGGAACCTTGTCCTCAGCGCGAGGGACCTTGTCCTCAGCGCCAGGAACCTTGTCCTCAGCGCCAGGAACCTTGTCCTCAGCGTCAGGAACCTTGTCCTCAGCGCCAGGAACCTTCTCCTCAGCGCCAGGAACCTTGTCCTCAGCGTCAGGAACCTTGTCCTCAGCGTCAGGAACCTTGTCCTCAGCGTCAGGAACCTTGTCCTCAGCGCCAGGAACCTAGTCCTCACCGCCAGGAACCTTGTCCTCAGCGCCAGGAACCTTGTCGTCAGCGCCAGAGACTTCATTGATTTGGTTCAATTCCTACAAAAGCACCTTGTGCTGCATTTTTCGCAGTCGTTCCTGGTCAGGTCTTAAAATGTATATATACTCACTTGGATTACTAACTCTAACATTCTAATATTATACGTAACAGCAGGGTATAATATAATAATATAATATAATGACAAATTCATTATATTATATTATTATATTATACCCTGCATATGACATTTTAGTTCAATCTTATCATAAAGAACCACTTAAAATACCAAAACATTCATGATATCTGAGGCTGTGTCAGTTTCTCGAAATTTTATTTAATTGTGAACGAAGCTTGACTTATTTTAGACTCCTTGTTTAATGTTTCCTCGTAACTCAAGCGTGTGGTGTGAGAGCAAGACGAGTGCAGGGGGCAGAGTTGTGAAGAAATTCAAGACTAAACCTCCAGCAAAACCCAACAGAACACAAGCTATACTTGCCAAGGTGTGTAGTTCACGACAGAACGAGGCAGACAATTCTCTTATAACCTTCTTATTCTATTGACTATATGTTGCCCTTATACTTCTATACTACATGCTATGAGACTATTCTCTACGTGTTTGTTTTGCTTGAATAGAAATTGTTCGCAAGTAATGAAGCCAATGCCCGACAAATGGAAAAGTAAGTAGTATATCTTATAAAACTCATCCATGCATCAAAAAAATTTATTAGCATAAAAGTTTCCCTTAATTTTCTCAGTTACAATAACTTTGAATAATTGTTTAAAAACACTATTTAGATCCTTGTATTTCACAAGCTATATACAATAGCCCACATTTGCTGTATATATTATCATTTTATATATTAGTGTCGCGCCAGTTATTAAAATTTGAAGATGAAGTACATTGTGAATACATATGTACAAAGTTTAATGATCCCTGATGGCGATGAAACTTAATTCCATTTTTTTGTCACTTTCAGGCAAGAGGCAATGATTTGGAGACCTTCGATAGTTTATAGAATGGTCAAAGCTACAAAAGGTAAGAAACACTATATTTACCCATGTATTATAGTGCTTTGAACGTCAGAAAATGAGTTCACTTTGTAGTGTTTGAGTTCACTTTGTAGCCGAGACCCAGCTGCAGTTTCAGAGTGTATGCACCACGAAATACAACTTTTTAGTATTGTAGTTGTTTGTTTGATGGTAAATTTACAGTTACAACTTTTGAAAGTCGCTTTTCACGTTGTTTGAATTGTCTAGAATTTCTCACGAGTACACCAAAAATGGCGGATTCTTGACCTTCGTGAGAAAGGCTAATTGGCTATATATATAAGCTTCTATGTCTACGCAGAGAGGGAATCAAATGCGTCTTTTCCACCAAATCTTTATGCAATCTTATTTCTTCTATTCTTTTCAGCTCTCAAAATATTCCAAACTCAATTACAACAATGGGACGCCGCGCGTCGCTGCGATCAAAAATGGAAAAGAGTTGAGGTAGAGCATTTTATAGAGTTCGGGTTCAATCATTAGGCGATGGCCCTTTCTTCATGGGCGAGGAAGAAGAGCTATCCAGCATGATAAAACTTAGTTGAGTGTAATTTAGCGTATAGCGGCAAAAAATCATCTAAATCTGCTCGTTTATATTTTCAGTGGTTGATGGGTCCTAATGGCTTACGTTCTCCAACGAAAGAAATTGTTATTGAATCACTAAAGGTTTGCGTTTGCATTTTTAACGTAGAAAATTAAACATCACGGTTTTTACCAATTTACCATATGAGAAATCTATAATAACCAACAATGGTAAAAGTTCATTTTTTGTATTCAAAAACCATTAATGGGAAGTTCAAAAAATTGTTTTCCTGTGTATAGTCCCCTATGTTGGATATTACCATAATATGTTAATATATCTACCATAACTAAATGTGATGTTTGTGATGTTACTCCCTGTGTATATCCACACCGGGCAAGCTTGAAAAATATGTCTGGCCACGGTGGGAATCGAACCTACGACCTTTGGAATACTAGCCCAATGCTCTGCGAACTGAGCTACGCGGTCAGGTTGGTTCGAGTATATGTGATATTTCGAAACTGAGTCTAGTTCCTTCGATATCAATGTAATCTAATAATCATGATTTTTTGTGTTGGTGTTGTGTACTCAGGTGAATATGATGCCTGTGATGTTACTCTGAGTGTATATCCACACCGGGCAAGCTTGAAAAATATGTCTGGCCACGGTGGGAAACGAACCTAGGACCTTTGGAATACTAGCCCAATGCTCTGCCAACTGAGCTACGCGGTCAGGTGGATATACACTCGGAGTCACATCACAAACATCATATTCACTTGAGTACATAACACCAACACAGAAAAAAATAACTAAATATTTCAACAGACTCTCAGTGGACTTAGATGTTCAGAGGAAGAAGTGGGAACAGCTATTGAAAATTTTGTAAGTCTTCCGCATTTCTTCACGATATTTCCTTTCCGAATTTTTCCTTGCCAAGAAGCCTAAAGCCCAGGGCAAACTAGTAAACATTGTTGTGGAAACATTGTTTCCGTGTGGTCGTGTGTATAGCTGCCAAGCCGAAGGAAAACTTGACAAGTGTACAAGAAATACTTTTATGGTTTTGGCAAACAAAAGGCGGCTTGTAGACTGCCTCCTCCGCAGGCCGTCGTTGCGTCATGGGAAGGTCACGATCTGGCGAGGGCCTGCGGAATCTTGTAAAAAAAATGGCGCCGGCGTCACGTCAGCAAGTAAATTTCTACATAATCTTGAATATAAACAGATATAAAAAAGCGGTGTGAAACTTATAAATTAAACTGGCGACTCTTAGGACGTGGAAGGAAGCATTTTTTAACGATAAGGTTTGTTGTCCACACCAACGTTGCACGAATAAAACTGCCTTCTTTAACGAAGCAGGTTCAAAACAACATTTATTCATTTTACAAGATTCCGCAGGCCCTCTCGAAATCGTGACCTTCCCATGACGCAACGAGGGCCTGCGGAGGAGGCAGGCCTGTAGAGACAAGTGGGGGCCCTGGGACAAACAATAATGTCGTGCCTCGCCGGGTTTTCACCCCGGACTGAGATTTTTCTAAAGACCTCCCCCCCCCCGGTTGAATCAGAGTCGACCGTTGATGTATTAGTTAAGGACAATAAGTTTTGCAAAATTCCTCGGGGGGCTAAGCTCCATTGTAAAATTTCCAGGCCCGGGAGCAAATTGCCCCCTTTGGCCCCCCTCTGTGAAGCCCTGTTCATGTGAGATAAATGTTTAACAACATCCCGTGGACAGGGGCAACAAAATTTGTTAATGGAAACTCGGCAAGGAAAACGTTCTCGTCTGTATGGGGCTTTTCTCTTTATTGACTATGCATGAGCAAAAGTAACTAAGCATCTGTTTTGTATTTCATATAGTTGCACGAAAGTACAGACTCACGAATTTTATACGAAGCGAGCAGGGCGTTGATTCTATCGGGTAATATAGTTTTCGATCAGAATTTTAGCTTCGCTATTAATCGTTCATTGATAAATATTTATTTCCATTGATGATATTTACGTTTCAAAAATATCGATTTTTATAGGTCATTGGCATCCGTCTGCCTTAGAAATTCTTCACAATGCTCTCAAATTTGGTGCGTGTTTTAAGAACCTAATTAACAAAACAAACCTGGATTAACAAAATAAATGGTTGGATGAGTGTCCCAACTACGTTGTAACTTTAATAAAATACATGATACTGTTGGGAAACATTAAGTGGCACTAACTAGCTCTCATCATCGTTTGATAAAAAAAATAATGTAAAATAATGTAAAGAGTAAATTTCCAGGAAAATAAGCTTTTTATAATGTGCCTAGCAAAACCTATTAGCAACTATTAGAAACTGTCCATATTTTGACGTTTTCAGGATCAAAAAGTTTAAAGCAAGAAATTCTTGATGCATTATGTTCTGTGGACAACATACCATTTTTCGACAAGGTATAGGCAATGTATATGGCAAATTTCCCTACAAAAATCTAATCAGATAGACTATCTGCTCATGCATCCTGTTACCCCTTTAAGTGACAATGAGTCAAACTCTGTCTAACGCCAGATGATTTCACTTGTAAATAACAGACAACGCAATAACCGTGCCAGTAAAACTTTTTCTTTTCAGAGAGCTCAGCCATTTCAAGAAATTCTAAATGTTTTGGAAGAGCTTGTTCAAGGCAACGAGCCTTCCTTGGCGTTTTCCAGTGCGCTGTGTCTCGGCAGATTGCTTGTTGTTCATCCTATTGCCAAGAGATATCTATTGGAAGTTATCCAGACTAAGTCACTAACTTCAAAACAGAAATGCGAGGTATACTTTTTGTGTGTGTTGGTGTTATGTACTACTCAGGACAAATTATACTACTCTTGAATAAATTTCATAACATGTAGAATATGCATATATGAAACCTGTTTGTGTTTGTGTTTGTGTTTGTGTTTGTGTTTGTGTTTGTGTTTGTGTGTGTGTGTGTTGGTGTTGTGTACTCGAGGTGATACTTCGGAACTGAGTCTAGTTCCTTCGATATCAATGTATTCTAAGATATAATTATCACTTATTCACTGAGACCGAGTGAAACAGTGTGTTTTGTGGACCCGAGACCGCCGGGCAACAACGGCGGTCGAGGGGCCACAAAACACACTACTTTCCCGAGGTATCAGTAAATAAGTGTTTTGTTATATAGTATATAAGTGTCAAAGTATGAATAATTCACCAGTTATTGGAGTGAACTTAAGGGGGAGCTTCACCTCAAAATTTGGTCGATTAGGATGAAAATGTCAAAATTTCTAAAACATCATGATAGGATACCTAAACATGTATTTTATCAACTAGTGAAGTCTTTATTTAAATTTCCATACTTTTTACGGAAAAAAATAGACTTTAGAGAAAGGCTGTGAGATTTCATTGAATGTTTACACCAGGTTACCATGGAAACGAGCTTGAAAAATCCTCTAAAAAAGTCGTTTTACTGTGCGATTTGAATGTAAAAATTTTATACAGGGCTACCTATGCCAATGGTGTGTATTATGGATATGAGAGGCACATAGGGACATGCTACAATTGCATAATTTTGTTATTTACATAATTTTACTCATTTACATGAGGCTTTGAGAATATATTCCGCTAAATTTTCTATTTTATCGCTATATTTTGTTGCATTTTTGGTTTGTAATAATGCCAAAAGGTTCCAAAGAAGGAACAAACTTTCGTGTGAAAAACAAATCAAAGAAAAAGCCCGTTTCAAAGGGAAACGATTCTCTGATTTTTGCGAAGATGGCGATGTTTTGAAGGAAAGTTCATGGCTCTCAATCTGGATCAGAAGAGTAAAATGAAGACTAATATGACGACGATTTATTGAATAAAACTGGTGAGAAGTCAACATCGGCAAAGAAACTGGAGAAAGCTAATTTAAAATCACCTCAAATTTACTCCTGAAATTGAAGGGATATTATAAACCGCAAGGCAAACGAAGGATATCGGATTGTTTGTATTGAAAACATTAGGAAAACAGTTGAGAACATGCATAAGTGCAAAAATGAAAACATTATAACTTCTGAAGATGCTGCAAAACGTGCTGGACTGAGCAGTACTTAGTTTATTATTATTTTGAGTGCAGAGGATTGACATGGATACATAGAAGCCAGTTGAGGGAAAGGCATGTTCTTTTGATGTAGAATTAATTTTCCTATGGGTGAGCTGGGCTTAGGTTGGGAAATTCTTTTAACTATTTGTGACATTTTGAACATTGGCCCTCCAGTTTATAGTGATAGTGCTCACCAAAAACACAATCAATCGGTGAATATAGCAACAAGAAAAGTCTTGGAAGAAAGATTGAACATTGGTGCGGCTGGTCGACTTGATGTAATGAAAGAGCTGAAAATGTCTGCTGGTTTTTATACAAAAACTGGAAGTGGGAGAAAGAATGACAAGAGAGTAAAACAAGCAAATGCAAGGGCCCAGATGAAGTTCAAGGAAGCAAGACAGAAGATTCAACAGGCAAAATTGGCGGAAGAGGCAAGATCGAAGGCACGGAAAGGAGTAACATATGATAGCGCGGCATTTAACGTGGATTGTTTTAGTGGTTCAACTAAGAGAAAGAGGATGACAAGGAAAAGTAGTGGTAAAAAGGGCAAAAGCAAGCTGCCAAGAAAAGAATAGAGCCTCAAACACTCTTATAACACTCAAACAACAAGTTCCAACGGAAATTAAACTTTAACTGTCTATTTCTCAAAATGTGATATTTGGCCGCACGTCAACTGCCCCCCTAGCTTTTCTTGTTACTGTTTTAATGAAAATTTCCCATTTTTGGCACAGATGTAGTTTAAGGTATGTAGAATGCAACTATGAGCCATTTTTTTAATATTTATTTTCTAACAGGATTTATAGTGAAAAGTGTATATGCAATCTGTTTTATCCGTTACCATAGCAACCATGGTGAATTACAAAAAAATGGCTCATAGGAGCGTAGTTCAATATCTTAGCTACCACAAGGTGCATTTTCACTTAGATACATCACATATTATGTGAAATTTTATGGGGGGGCAAAAGTGGCCTGTAAAATCCAGTTTTCCATATACTACTTGCTTCTTTGGTGTCAAATTTCAGTCCGATACACCGAACTGGAAAATTTTTTGTCTCAGCTGATAGCTGAAGATCTCTAGTTTCTAAAAATATATAGTTTATGCATATTTTGCTTAAAAATATGCCTCCTAACAATTGTTAAAGTTTTGTCCATTTTGAAGTACGATTGGGGTGAAGCTCCCCCTTAAGACTCTGAAATGGTCGTTTCCGGCGACCTAGAGGTCCTAAATGTTGAAAATTTTCTCGCTCGGCGCCAACCATGGTGGCTTAATGATGACTTAACCCCCTGGTTTCAAATACATTCCCACGTCCCTGTTCTGTCGCATGATGTTTTTGCAGAATTGTTTTTACCCTTCTGTTTAATTTATTTTTGAATATCAAAAAGTCGGTCCCCAAGTGGCCCACACCCCCCTAGAAATTCCTTAGATGTGCGCCCCTGGCTGAGCCTGCGCATGCGCGGCTACCCACAAAAACGAAATAAGGACGTAGGAAACGGAAGCCTCGCATCAGTCATTGACGTCAATAGCTATATGTAGGTTGTGTAACTCCATTTTTCCACAGCTATTAAAATAATGAACACTCCCTAATTCCAGTTTTTTCTAACGGACCGTATCGCTAATCATATCAGTTCATAAAACCGTAAAAAGCCATAATTTGACAATTGACATAATTCTGAGGAAAGTTTGAGAAGAACCTGAAAATTTATGGGCTATTACATTCAAAAACCAAACCCACCTTGTCGAGGACCTCTGCATGTGGGGAGTTTTACCCCTCTGGAATGCAGAAAAATCCGTGTAATTGACCCCTCTGTAAGAGACTTGAACCCCCTCTGGAAGTACATTTTAACCCCTCTGGAAAGAGCATTTTTCTTCCATTTTTGGGGGGACAATCCCCCCCCCCCAAAAAAAAAAAATGGAATATGAATATCATTAATATTAAACTGGTAAGACATATAACCTTAAGTACAAAAATGGGTAATAACTTAGAGATGCAGTTGGTGAACCAGACATTTCTATCCCCTCAATTGGAAATAGGTGAGCAGGGTCTTAACTAGAAGACCGTGTTGGCCGTGTTATCGCAGCCAAAAATGCTAGATGAAACGAACGCGGCTTCATTATTTATTTTTGGCTGTGCATGTAGGTTTATAAAATAACGCGTTGCTATTTACAACATACAGAATTTCTTTGTAAAATCTATTGTGGTTGTTGAAATTGGTAAAAGTGATCTGTGATGTTTTAATGTTTTGATAGATAATGGGCACCGTATGATTGTTAAAATGGCATTAAATACCCCCAAGAATTGCTAAAATTTCTGAAGAAAGTTTAGAATCTCTTCATAATGAAATCCTCGGTGAAAATAAAAACGTATGATCTCTTCCTCATCAGTTAGATCATTGGTTTCATCACTATTTTCATACTCCTCTTCGAACCCTATATTATTCGCCGCCATTTTGGATGTTAAGAATGAGGAATCTGGTAACTAGAACCAAAGAAAATCCACTTCCGCCGTGAGATCTTCAATTGTTGCCATGTATTTTCAAAGTTGCCGTGAGATCTTCAATTGTTGCCGTGTATTTTCAAAGTTGCCGTGAGATTTTTAATTGTTGCCGTGGATTTTCAAAGTTGCCGTGAGATTTTTAATTGTTACCGTGTATTTTCAAAGTTGCCGTGAGATTTTTAATTGTTGCCGTGGATTTTCAAAGTTGCCGTGAACATTCAATGCAGATGTTGCCGTGTAATATAAATGCTGTGCCGTGTACGTTTCAAACTGTTGCCGTGACACCTGTGGGCCACCGTAATAAACGGTGACAGAAAAACTGGCAAGAAATTTGAGTTTGAACTTGACAAAGCGTACCAGGACATGTCCGTTTTGTAGTAAGTAGGTCGTAACGAATGGGTTGTAACGTATCTCCCATAGTTACTAACTCGTCATTCGTTCACTCATTCGTTCACTCGTTCGTTCACTTTGGTCTATTCGCAGCCTAGTCCCAGGCTCTCTCTCTATTCACTGCTTTGATATATTTAAATAAGTCTTAAAAGTTTTATGCCTGGGTGTGCTGTGCGGAACGCACCTTGAGCGGTGACGTCACGCCTAGGTCCCAGTCTCGTACTACATCCACTTTTTTCTCGCGCTTGCTTCAGAACGACTGGGACTAGGCTGGTCTATTCGTACATGTTTTAATATGCAAACCAATCAGCTTTCGCGATTTCAATGAAACAATTTACATACTTGCATATTCGTTCGTTCTCGTGCTTCGGTGGACGTTAACTACTTAACTTGACGGAACGTCACGGAAGCTGAGTTTGGGTCTGCCTCCTCCTCGTTGCGTCATGGGAAGGTCACGATTTCGAGAGGGCCTGCGGGATCTTGTAAGGGACCGGTCATAAAGTAAAAGGGGGGGTGGGCTGGGAAAAATAGGGGGGTCACCACTTTTGAGCACGGTTGAAGGGGTGGGTCATCGAAAGTTAAGCGCAATCATCAACAACTTGTTGCAAGTTGATATCGACAGGCGCGAACAATGTTGTGCGGCCAACTATGAACAGTATTGTCAACTTGTTGTTACAGCATTGTTCAACTGTAACAACTTGGAACAACATGGTTGACAACTTGTTCATAGTTGGCCGCACAACATTGTTCACGCCTGTCGATATCAACTTGCAACAACCTGTGCGTTTTTAGCCGTGTAGATTGTGTGTGACCTTCCCATAGCGCAACGAGGGCCTGCGGAGGAGGCAGAGTTTGGGTGCCGGACTACGGATATTCCTTTAATAGCGCCTGAGGATGGTGAAAAACAAACAAAGGCTTTAACCCTATTATTCTAACTGAAAAATATATCGATTGTTCAGACACCAAGAAAATCCCTGAAAACCCCTATAACTTTACGTAACTAAATATTTACAAGCCATTATATAAGAGGGTCCTGAGGGGGGTCTAGCTCCCATTTCTCAGCCCAAAGTTCCTCTATATGCCATTTCCCAGCCCTTTTTTTAGATCAAATCCCAGTTCCACCGTGAAAATTGAAAGAAACTCCCAGAACAGGTGGTTCATCTATGTGATGACTTTTAAAGAAGGTGGTTCCTCTTTAGAACTAGTTTTGCCGAGAAAAAAGTGTATGACTGACTTACAAGAGCAGAAAAATGATCTCATTGAGCTATAAGTCGGTTAAATTCAGTTTGCCTGGACTCTCTTAGACAAATTCTCCATCAAAAATTGCTCTGTAGCTGTTCGTAAAGTTATTTCACTCTGAAATGTCCAACTACAACGGTCTTTATAATGGTATTTGGATTTTCCCATTTTTGTGCATTTCATTCCCAGTAACCCAAATCCACTTTCCCAGTCCAAAAATACGCAAATTCCAATTCCCATTTACCCCTTCTCCTATATTAATTAATTAAGCGTG